TTCGGGTGTTCGTGTCTTCGTGTCTTCGCGTGTCTTCGTGTCTTCGCACAAAGTCACAACCCGGTTCTCGCTCGAGTACGTCAATCCAGCGAAACAAGCAGGATCAAGCAGGAACATCATTGCTCCAAATGGCTGGCATTTCTTGCTCCGCTGAACACCTCAGGTTTCGAAGTATACATGCAACCAAGTACTCCAGGACTCGGAAAAATGATGAAAAAATATGAAAAAAGCAGAAAAACTCAACCAGTTTTCAGTTTTTGTCTTTTTGTTGGAAACACTCTGAGTGGTCTGCATGCCAACGTGATTTTTCCGTGGTCTCCCGCCCCGAACACTCCGCTGCCTCTCTCGGCGTCGACGCGTCCGCATGGTCCTCCACTCTCCGGCCTCCCCGGGAGGATCCAGTGAAGTAGTCCACCTGTGCAGAACCCCTTCGTCTTCGACCGCAGGTGGAACCTTCGATCCATGAACCCATGGATTGAGTCATACATCGATTGGCGAAACCCGCCAACGATATGGTTGACGATATAGAATCAAGACCAATTGGTCATAGATGTCATAGATGTCATAGTCATTCTTCCGTTCTTTGTGCAACGAGCGAGTTCTATGACGTTGATCGTAGCTTATGATCCGATTGGCTCCGCGCCACGCCGCTTGTCGTTCGATGGCGTCGGGCCCGGGCCCCTCGGTGTTCATCGAAGCTCTGAAACCGACTGCAAAAAAAGAAAGGTTGACCTGGTCTTGTGGTGAAAAGCAGAGTCTACCTGGTATATAAACATGTGAAAAAACAAATCGTATAGTTTAACCATGTTTCTTGGGGGGGTTCTGTGCCCGTTCACTGTCGTTCGCTGTGACTGGATGGCACACTTGTCCCAGAATTTTGGGTTAGCATCGATAGAAATATAGGGATTAGATAGGATTGGACATCGTCAACATCTGGTGATGAAGAATTATCCTTCTCTTTCTTGCTTGAAAAGGGAGACCTTAGGCCTGTCCAAAGAGGGATCCATGGCAAACATGAGGTTGGACCAACCATTCGTGCTTTGTCTGGCCACGCATCGTGATCATTGCCATGTCCTTCTAGCAGAGTCAGCTTCGTCACATGGCAGATCCCCACACGCGCGCCGTGCGCGCGCGCGCTGTGCACGCGAAGTCCTACCGCCAGACGCATGCATGCCTGGATCTGGCTGTCGCCAAGCCATGAGCCATTCAAGGTGGTGACGGCCTGGTTCACCTGGCAGTCTGGGGCGC